GTAAAAATCCCATCTGTTTTTAATGTGTATGTTGAACGTAGCAGTGTGTACGAAACTCATCCTTGCTAGGCAGGACAAAGCGTCCTGCGAAAGGGGCAGAGATGTCGTCTCTTATGACTCACCTGTGAAGATCATGAAACAGATGAGGAGCAAAGTTTGCGTCAGTGTTGCTTTCCATCAGAGCTCTCATCTGGCACCTCTACGGGCAGCAGCATCCCTCCCTGCGGGCTGCAATCTCCCCAGCGATCAGTAACGTTTGCTGCCAGTAGCACGTGTGCCTAGGCATTTTCTGGGGTCTCACTGCACCCCTTCTGCTCTTGATGCTTAAATGGCACTGAGGAAAAGCTGGACGAGTGCTTCGCGGGTACCACACACCTGGCTGTTTGCGCAAGCAAGGCCGCTTTGCTTGGTTACACTTCTGATTACACAGAAGAGCAGAGAAACCATTGCGTGCGCCAGCTTACCTGATATGGCATACAAATTCGAGTGCTGGTGCTCCAAGTCCAGGCGAGTGCTGTGATTTTTCCCTCGAAAGCTGGCAGGGAGTGTCAGCGAGATATGCCTAAGGAAGAGAGATGGGAAACGGAGATGACGTTACTGCAGAGCGGAAGATACTGCTGCCGTCAGCTCACTCTTGCCTGACAATTCCAGGCAGGTTAAACAGCAAACATCAATTTTAACATTGCTTGTAAAAGCCATAGCGGGCCCCAAATACCAGGAGGAGACTGAGGTGGTGGCTCAGCCATTACAACCAAGGGTGGTTCAGCTGCTTTACCTGCTCCTCAGTCCAGCTGTGAGCAAGATGGTCTACACCCTGGCGCAAGTCCCCTCCGCCCTGCTGAATGCCAGGCTCAGCCAACAACCAAAGCGCTACAGAGGCGGCCATCCACCTCCCGGGCAGCACACGGCAGCTCCTCGTGAGCCGGCACCCAGGGACAGCCTGCGCAGTGGCTGGCGAGTACGATCCTCCCTCTGCAAACACAAGTCTCAACATAAGGCATCGAGAGTGGACCCGAACACCCTGTGGGACTCAACCACGTTTCCTTCAAGGCAGAAAGCACTAACAGCAAGTGTTTTGGATTTATCCGTGCCAAAAAATTCTGAGTACATTCATAAATAACATCTTTGGAACTCTCTGATGGCTAAGGCCTGCTCCAAACCTACCCAGAGCCTGCTGCATGCTCCTGTGCTCCCCGAGGCAGGGGGTGATGCCCATGCTGAGCTCCCCTACGCCAGCCCCTAAGAAAAGGGAAGCCAAATTTCACTCGCCACCTCTCTAGCTGCAGCAGTGCATGACATCCTCCCTCCCAACAACGCTCT